CTCTTTTATGGAATGATTTACTCATCCGTATTAGGCAAATACTTCTCCATGTTTTTGCTTCCTAGTAAGAGTAATCCGACTATGAATCTACCTGATAATCCTAATCATAATTTCATTATCTTAGATAGAAATGCCTACCCTCCATCTCTCCGTATGTATGTCCTTTATATACAAATTTTGTATTCGAAATGTTCATATGATTATCTTTTGTGTGTAATAATAACATTTATTAAAATCTTTTTTTCTTCATGTAGATTTTGCAGATAAAAAAATTTATTAATATCAGTTTAATTAATATATAAATTGCGAAAAAAAGTATTATTTTTTTCCTCCTTTCTTAACTTTTTAAATACAATTATTTTTTATTTTTATTTTTTTTGTTGTAAGAGAAAATGCCTTCAAAATTGATCACTTTTTGCTACGTTCACGATTTCTGAGAAAGGCAAACTGTCAGCTATACCATTAAAGAAATCACTGGCATCGTTAGGCTTGAAGACATTGACTCTAACAAGATAGCATTCCTGCAGATCAAAGCTTTCATTCTAACTGATCGAACGGCTCCAACAGAAATTAAACCTTACGAGGTTAGTGACGTAATTTGTTTAAAAGGAAAGTTCGTGGCTTGTGCTAATTGGTACTCTATAAGTGATACAAATGAGAATAAAGAAATTTATCATCAAATTATTTTTGATATTTTATAAAAAAATTAACATTAATTCTTTTTTATCGCAGGTTAACGCTACCTCCATAAAAACGCTCGATTTAGAATATGACGACATTTCAACGATAGGTCTCAATATTATTGTTTCCGATTCTATGACACAAACTGTCAGAAATGTGAATGGTCTTTCTGTTCTTGAATTTAAAATTGAGAAAAGGTTAGGTGATAGAGAACCAAACAAATATGTCCTTGAAGTCAGGCACGATCTGGACAATACTTACCTTACCAATAAAACCAATGCCATAAATCAGATGATGAGATTAATCACTGCAATTTTGGTTGGTGTGATTGATTACAAACCTCCCCTTGATACCTCGACTGTTCCAGACAAACCCGCCTTGGACAAACACATCCTCAAGTTAGAAGATATTTCATTGATTCGTTATCCTAACTAAACCCGCACAAATGCCTCAATAATAACGTTACTGTAGAGAAATAATGTCAGCTGTACGGCTGCTAGTAGACCAACTCGTCAAATAACTAGAAGGTCTTCGTTAAGGAGATCACGAGCTACATTGGCTCATATGGGACAAACTATAACGTCAAGACGTCCTGTATCCTTCAGTTTGTTGATCGCACTCGAAGCGAACCTCATCTTACGTTCAGATGTCAATACTCTATTAGAGGTTGAAGTCAATGCGATACCTCTTTCAAATGCTGAAAACTCAGTAGAAATTCCGCAAGAAAAAACGAAATGAATTTTCATTTTTTAGTTTTTTTTTTTCTTAATAGTTTTTAAGATTAATTTTTTTTTTTAATTAACGTTATATATTTAATTCACGTTTTTTGAAAATGACGATAATTTTATAATCGTTCAAATTTTTATTTTTTTTTTTTATTTAAGAAAAAAAATGTTTATTTTTTTATTTAAGATTTATGACTTTTTTTATTACAAGTTGAATGTGTCATTTTTTTTAAATGATTTAATTTAATTTAAAATAAAGTGAAAAAATAATTGGAGCATTTATAAAGTTTTTTTTTTATTGAAATATTTTTTTTTTTTAAGTTTAAATGAATAAAAAAATTTGTTTTTCTTTAAACGAATAAGAATAAACCTACCTGCTTTTATATAATTATCAGTCTTTTGCATTATGTTTCCAATAGACAATATATTATCCAATTTAGATTCTTTTTTTTTTTTGCTATTTAATCTGTTTGTCTAACAAATATTTCATTTATCATCATTCAAATGATCTGTGTTAGCCCGAATATAAATGAATTTATGCAAATAAAATCACGA